CCGCACAGTTCACTTGAATTCAGTACCAGCGGCTGCACACTGGGTGCAGACTAACTGTTCAAGAGACACAGATCTCTTTAAATTTATAAAACTGTAATGCATTTCAAATGCGCCACAAATATTTAGACCATCTGTATTCAGTGTGCTGAGACCACAGCGGACCTGCAATGTATGTTGCAGGAACTATATGACGTCTCGATAGCGGTTGGCCTCCGCATGAACACCTCAAAAACAAAAATAATGTGCCAAGACCCAAGTATAGAAAACATAGTAGTAGCAGAAAATCGTATCGAACGGGTGGAAGACTATTTGTATTTGGGGCAGCTCATTACACTCGACAAAAGCGGACAGGCTAGAGAAATCGACCGTCGTATTAGACTGGGTTGGGCAGCGTTCGGCAAATTATCCGACATCTTCAAAAGTAAGATACCACATTTCCTCAAACGTCGCGCATTCACCCAATGTGTTCTTCCTGTTCTGACTTATGGAGCCGAAACCTGGACTATGACAAGGCAACATTCCACACCATGCAAGTCGCTCAGAGAAAAATGGAGCGTGCCATGCTCGGTATATCCCTGAGAGATCGTGTACGCAATGAGGACATACGGAAACGAACAAAGCTACCCGACATTGCTCGCGAACTCGCAGGGAAGAAGTGGAGGTGGGCAGGTCACGTGGCTCGCAGAACGGATGACAGGTGGAGTCGAGCTATTGTGGAGTGGCGACCTAGAACAGGACGCAGAAACGTTGGTAGGCAGCCCGCCAGATGGTCCGATGACATCACAAGAGTAGCAGGACGAAATTGGATCCAGATCGCACAACACCGAGCAAATTGGCGCACCATGGAGGAGACCTATACCCAGCAGTGGGTGGATAAAGGTTGAAGAAGATTCAGTGTGCAGAATTACAAACAAGACAGCAGTATGTTGGTATTTTCGATGCATTTAGAGGGACAGAAGATTTATCTATAAATATCTCCACAGGTCCCTGATCAAAATAGGCAAAACGGTCAAATGACCCAACCACCACACTGGTTCAATGTGAATTTGTGGATGCTAACGACTACAGATGTAGACGGAATCAATAGCATCCAAAGAACGAAGAAGCTCGAGAAAATAATTTCATGAAAATCACTCATCTTATTACCGGCCCAAGAGAAAGTTCAAACTTCGACAATCGTAGACCGAATTGCAAACTACTCATGGTAATTTTTTATGAAATCTGCGATCACGTCAAAAACACTAGATATCCTAATATTTTTATTCTAAGCATTTAATTGCTAGATGTTTTAATCTAAAGAAAAAAATACCGAATCCATTCGAAAATCCTTCCTGAAATCCCTTCTGAAACCTGGGCCTAGTGGTATTTTTTCTAGTAAAATTTTCTTTACACTGTAGATGTCGTTCCGGATGAATACGTAAGTATTGAATATATTCTAATGATTATATTTCATTACACATCTACGGGCATGAATTAGGTAATTTGTATGCACTGTTACAGTGTGGAATATTTTGATTAAATTAAAATATTCTAATATAGAAGCACGTATAAGCACTCAATAGGATGTTTGACGTAATAATGGATCAAGAACATGGCCATCGAATAAATTAATGAAGATTGTTATTGAATCGGTTACATTATTAGTTAATTCACAATGTTTCAGTAAATAAACGGTCGCTATATCTACGTTACTGGTGAAAGTTATGAGTTAAAATTTAAACGTCAATAGTGTCATATCATATATCATCCCGTAAATGGTATTTTGTTAGTGATAATCGAGATATTACACAGATCTATTTTCGTGCATGTATAAGTTAATACGAGGTAGCATCACAGGTTAACTTTAATAGATTGTAGGTGGACATGGGTATTATCAAATGGTTATGCAACACTGTCAACACGCTCGTAACATACAATCGTGGAGCCGGCCTATTGTTGCCGGCTCATTGTTTGGGTTCTCGTGCAACATCGACACTTACTAACCACTTTTTGCTATTGTCATTAAATAATACACGGCCAAGGATAAGTTTTATATACATACAGTTCTATAGTCGTTCCTAATCTACTATTTTGAATGCAACACGTAAATAATAATCTACATGTCTCGATACAGTTGGTAAACACTCTTAAACTTGATATTAGTGCCGATTCTGGCATGATTCTCTAAACTTTAAATTAAATTTAACATAACAGTCCCTTCTTTTCATTCTATAAAGAGAATGACAAAGATACACTGTTGTCAAATTCAATTTTAGCTTTAGTGAATCATGCCGGAATCGACAGCCTTAACCTTCAACCAATACTAAAGATTTAACACTGAGGCGTCACTTGATGTTTGAAAGATTCGAACAATAAGAAGAGTCGTTTAATCTTTATTATGAAGTAGTATAATATTTGATGACTCGCATTAAATAAAGCTATACAATTTTGGAAAATTTACATAATGGCTAGATGCAGTTTTAGGCGCCTATTAACGGCTGTAGTTAAATTTAGAGGCTGGATCGACGCCAGCTACAGTAAAAATGCAAATCTGCCATCAAATTCAAATTACGGATTTCACAAAAAATACATTTGTAATAAGTAACATTCCAGTATGAGATGGTATACAATACAACATACAGGGGAAGATACTAGAAGTTTTATACGGTGACTAAGCAAAATATTCTATTGCATTCATAAAACGTACAGGTATGAACTACTACAGTAATATAACATATCTTGAACAGCATAAGGTAGTTATCAATAAACAGAGGAAGTATATGGCGCAAAGACAACTAATTTGTTTATACATAAACCTAGAGGTTGTACGTAGCTCACTAGCAAAACGATATGGCAAAGAGAATTTTAAGCCGAAATATTTCCAACTTTGACATTTTACAATGTTATAGTGAGTAAATATTCGATTATATTTTTATTTCTTACACGAGGCTTTCTAATATAATACATTAACCATAATGAAGGCACTAGTGATTATAAATATTTAACCTTAAAAATCCTTCGCCGTACCTTGCTGTCAATGAGCGTTGGACTTAACATTTTCTGTGATTCGCATCTCACTAAATGTGCATTACACTCGAGCTACGAAATACAATGGAGGCTGAATACAATTAACTTTATCATGTTATAAAATAACTTATCAAATTTGACGTAACGTGTCTTGCCAATATAAAGAATGAAGCGAATTAATTGTCCGGGAAAAACAAAGCCAATTTTTATTGACAGACTTACCCACTTTGTAACAATCGCACAATGAACCGAAAAACGCGGTGCATTGCGCTAGTGTTTCCTGTTGGCTATTCCGAGCAACTTGTAAACCTCTATACCTAATTCAAGGCTATTTTGGCAATAAACTATTTAATGTTATCGTTTAATGATTGCGTAGGACGATAAATATTTTTATTACCTTTTTTCTGTGGTTAATTAAAACGATATGCATATTCGGTGGGTCGCAATTTACTGTGAACTTTCATCATCATAACTTACCTCTTTCTAACAAAAAATCATTATAATTTCTTATATTTTGATCTTATTCCATATATTAAATAAAAGCTAGTCGCTTAAACAACTCGTTTTTAAACCATTGTGAGTATTTGCCATAATAAACGCAATATTTGTACAGAATAACTATATCAATTACGCGTTCATGATGGTTTTTATTTTTAGACTCAGACAATTAAGTGAGGCAACACTTTTTTAAGGTACTAAATTATCAATCAACGTTGAATGCCAAACGTATTTCAAAAATCGACTTTATGCTTTAGAGTTAAGACCGTATTCAGCCTACATTATAAAGCGGCGTCGAGGTACCTCAGGCTGCGGCTCCTCGCCCAGCGAGTCGCCGAGCGCCTCCGCCTGGCTCTTCATGATTGAGTATATTTTCACGTACGGCGCCTTCAGCAGCTATAGTATGCGCATACGCGTATGTTAGTAACAAATGTTGGGTACAGCCAAAGTTTTGACAGTGGTTTTTGACACTAAGAATATCACACTTCGTGCAACGTAATATAGACCAATTTCAACCACTGACGAGCCTTTGACTGTACCATGTTAATACGATACAACAAATTGTCAGTTTATGTGTTACTAGTCTTATGAATAGTCTTAGTAACAGTGATCAAATAATAAACTTAAAGTAAAATTATCGTTCTTCAAAGAAGTTAATATATAAGGGTAGTTTACATCAAAACAAAATTTATATTTTTTTAAATAATTCGTAATGTGTTTTAATATTAACGCGCCACTATACCAACTATTATCTGACCACTGTGATTTAAGTAACTTTTTAAAATAGTATTTTGTAAGATAATGTTCAGTTAAATAAGAAATGTACTATTTGAGCAACAATAATATACCAAACATTTGTTTCTTATTTATGGTTATAGATTCCTGAATAATGTGATAAATGTTAACTTTTATGTAAAAATATGTTATGTATTTGTTTAGAATTAATGAGTTAAATATATATAATATACATTACAATCATCATAAACCTACATAAATCACTTTTTAAAATTTTCCACTGCTATTAAAAATGATTTACTGATAACAGTCAACTTTTTGTATCCGATTTTAATAAAGTTAACAAGCAATGGAAAAAAATGCTTGATCTTCTGTAAACAACATGCCATGGCAGATTAAACTGATAAAATCAGGCTAAGCATATTCAATCTACGTAGTTAAAACATCCACTCTTGACCAGCTCTGTTAACAGCTTTACGTACAAGGAGCATCATAACAAATCTCTTAACACCATGTGCTAATATGTTACGTCATTCGCAATGACAAATGATTGATCACAGTGCACCCAAAGAGGATTTTCATAACTTGAAATTATAAAAAAATCGTCCAAAAATGTACGTGGAACGTGAGATGCAATATCGGAATAAAAAGTGATGTGTGTGTAATCAAAACTGTTAGTTATCATCAAACGTGTTAGCAAAGAGAAATGTAACATGTAGATTTTAAGAAATTAACTGGTTTGTGACACGACATTGACTTACCTCCCATGATTCTCTTGTGATATCCGACACGTCTCCTGAGCTGCCGGACCGCTCACCCTGCACAATGAAGAAATACCATTTCGATATAACTTTTCATATATTTTCAAGATCATAATGTAAACTTTATCTGTTAATAAGCATTACCCGCTGAAGTAAAAAGATAGAAAACTGTGATTGCACTTTATTTTTCATTAAACAAAATATTTTCGATTTAGCCATTAAACTTTTCTTTAGACTTTTAAAACTTCGAAATATTTCATGGGAAAATATAATGAAACCTTCCAGTATAAAGTGAACCAAGTTAATAATTTGCATAAGAAAACAATTATGTTACAAACTATCATAAATAAAACTAGCAGAATTTGTTATCTTGACTGATGGCTGTACGATAGCGATATTGCAGTGGTATATATATCATCATTTCATAACGCTACCATGTAAATAAAGTAAGCAGTTAGTACTTGAATAACAAAAGGAAGCGCGAAATGTTATACACTCAGTTCACATCGATAAGATTGGATATATAAATATTGTCTTTTATTTTTGCCATCTATCTGGCGTAGAAGACTTCTGTCATTAAACCAAAACGTAATATTTTTTTATTTATGAATTTAAATTGCGACTAACTGTCGTGTATGCCTTAAAAAATTGTTTGTAAAGGAATTTGTGTCAGTGCACTGTGGTGTTTCGGAGGCTATTTCCAACACTCATCAAAATATGTAAAGATCAGATCTAACAATGGAAAGCGGAGCTGCTCAACCCTAAGGAAGTCACTTTGGGAATCATTAAACAAAATCTAAGCCTTAACAAAAACTTGACAGTAGTATAACCTAATCATGCCCTAATAAGAAATTAAAAGGAGATTCCTTTCAAATTCAGTTATTGATAGAGGATAAAATCATGCATGGAAACAAAATTAATGGTTCCTCCCTAATTTCCATTTCAATAGGTTCAGAAAAAGTTTAGTATACTGTATACGTATTAAATAGCTAATTCAATTTCAACACGGAACACGGATCAAAGGCCCAAGCACGAACTTTGACATCTCCGTAATTAAATCGTAAATTTGTAAAAAAACCTAGTTTGTTCTTACTCCGATAGGGGGCGCTGTTTAGTTTTCATAGAAATTTTTCCGATCCGATACGAATACGGAGCTGTCAAAATGCGTACGTAGGCCTTATCATCAGCCTGTTAATGTCCCCACTGCAGGGGCAAAGGCCTTCCCTATGGATGGAATAGGGAGATTGGGCCATGACCCACCACGAGGACCCTGTGCGGATTGGTGGGTGGGTGCTAACGACTGCAGATGCAGCCGGGACCAACGTTTTAACGTGCCTTCCGAAGCACGGAAGAGCTCGAGATATTAAATTTTTGGTCACCTATCCAATGACCGACAACTGCGAAAGTTACTTAACTTCAACGATCGCAGCCGAACGCGCTAACGACCTGCGCCATCGAGCTCCTCGTGGGCCTCAGTACCTATTATATGTCACGTTTAGTGTGCTATTGTTTTAAATTATCTCCTACCTTATGACCCGGCTTTGCTTCGTCATCGTCCCACTCGGTGTCGCTGTCGATGAGCTCGTAACCTTGCGCGGAGACATCGCCCAGAGGTCCGTACCGGTCCGGCACCCAGTGAGTTAGGAACTTGAATAGGTCATCCACCCTGGAGAAAATATATAAACATTAGGCCTGCGATTAGACACGAACTACAGATATTTGTACTGTAACCCATTTAAAACTGCTGAACCAGCTATCTTCGCGTCTGCACTCCACCGTCACTAAACATCGGGTGGGGTAAAGTCATATGTCGGGCCTTTTTATGAAATAACAAATTGATAGCTTGAAAAGGTTTGATATTCAGATTGATAGTTAATGGTACTAAAGCATAAGTTTTGGATTAAAATAAATATTAAAGATGTCAAAGCATAGATAAATCTAATGACAAATGCTGTTGGAACACCTCTGGCTGACGTTAAAAAGAAATTGGGTCAAAATTTGCAATAAGTGATTTTATTTCTCTAATGTTTTTAAGTATCTACAACGTACGAAGGAAGTTATTATACTTGATTATAAACTGACAAACTGCATTCCGGAAATCCAAAAACATTTCCACGGAGTTGACTGATAATTAAACAAACAAACAAATACCGTCACTCGCACTTATAAAAAGTTATAAATACATACACATTTACTTGGTTTCAATCAGGGCCGGATTTAGAAGTGTTGGGGCCCCAGGGAAACAAAGGAGTGGAGGTCCCTAAATTGAGGCCCGACCTTTTACGTTTAGCAACCCCAAAGGGTTTGGTGACCTCTGTTGTGGGGGCCCCTGGGCCACAGCCCCACCTACTCTGTCTTAAATCCGGCGCTGATTACAATCTCAACAACAACAAAAATATTCCTTACTCTTTGAGCGACTCGTCGTATTGGTAAGCCATAGTTAAAAACATGCACATTCTTAACTTCTAAGAATTTAATATAATGCACTTGTTGTCTAAAAACACTTTTATCACTGTTTTACTGAATAGACATCCAGTGACTGATGCGTGATGGCGCATTAATGCAGACAAAGATATCGAAAATAGAATCTAAGATATGGGAATTATAATGAATGACACATACTCACAAAGAACAATGTCTCGTAAGATTAGTATGAATTTATTTGTTCCTTCATGTAAACAAACACTTTGTCACACGTTATGACCTACATTCAGATAATAATGGATGAGTAAGTCGTATTAGACATATAAGTATTTAAGGGTTCTCTACCCAATGGGAAAAAATAAAAATGATAACGATGAATTAAAAATCATTACATCGATATCTTATTACCACACATCCCCTGTTAGACCGTCAAGTAAAAGTGTATACATAACATGACAGCAGAGCCCTCCTTCCCAGTGGGCACTTTGGGCAAGTGCCCAGGGCCCCGCGATCGATAGGGGCCCCCCTCAGATCAAATACAAAGTCCCTAGTTCCTGTTAAATCACCCAACGAGGGTCGTAGGGGCCCCATTATCCTAATATGCCCAGAGCCTCCAATAGGTCAAAGACGGCACTGCATGACAGTAGATTAGTTGCTCACCGATATCGCTCTTATTGCTATATCATATAATTACGGAGTAATCTCCGTAAATAAGATAAAATTGACATAATTGTCAATTTCGGTCCACTGAGGAGTGCTTCTCTATACATTAATTCCATTTTCATAGTAGAAAAGTAGGCAGGGTATTTTAGTATAACATATACAAATTAAAGAATAAATACAACTGCACATGCGGTAATGGTGACGCAGCGCGCTACTACGATGTATTTTAAATCTGATTAAATTAAATTTGTATAAAAAGTGTATAATTTTTTACTTATAATTTCAATTATAATCTTTTTGTCTTGTACTTTTACATGAATATACGGTTTCCACACTTAGTCCTAATTATTGGACCAATGTGCGTGTCTCGAAACATTCCCGTTTACTCCAGCCAGCCTAAATTATTCCAGAAGGAAAGCAGCCTTGGCAGACTGCTGCAAGCTTCCTGAAGCGATGCTGGCAACTGGAGAAGTCGTGCCTTCTGCCTCCATACATCCTCTGCATAGGGGGCTGTCTGTTACTCCTATTGTATATAGGTGTTTGTTTAGGGGACAATGACCAGTTAGGGTTCCTACAATTATACGGAGTTTGTCCCTATTAAGTCTGGTAAGGTTAAACCAATAATTTTAAGAGTTATCCACTGACCTGTTCCTGGGTACTCCGAACCAGTACTCGGGCTTCATCCGCTTGCGGCCGTAGGACATGAGCGGCGTGGTCCGCGGCAGCGGGCGGCCAGCCGGCTTACCCATGCGCAGGCGCAGGTACAAGGGCGGATCGTCGCTGGGCCGCGCCGGCCGCGGTATTAATTCTACCGTACAACAAGAGACTTGTTACACCAGTACACTTCTAGACCCGTATTAATAGATTGCTCTCAATTCTGAGACTACAATCTTGAGATATCGAGATTTTGAAATGAAAATATCATACAAAACCGCATTTCAGGATCGTAATCAATATCGCTCTCAGAGTTGAGAACGATCTATTAATACGGGCCCTAAACTTTCATGATATTTTTCACAAGTTAATTTTAAATAGGTTTTGTTATTAATTTTGAAAAGTGTTACAGTACAAATCTGCGATGTGTTGGGAAACCTTGCCGACATTTTTGTTTTATTAAAATGGCTACTTAAACTTAATTTGTCATTACCAGTGCTTCTAACATTGTTTGTAAATGTGATAAGATTCTTTGCTATATCGTGTTGTCGTTAAATAAATAAAATATTAATTATTGTAAAGCCATAACAAAAATTATATTTTTTGTATTTGGATATAGGCTGTTCGAATAAATATTTAAGGTAAATAAATATGTAATGTGGTATAAACTTTTAGCATCCGAATACCTGATTTCAAACAATATATATCAAATTCATTAATGCTGCTACGTGAAGAGGTCCAAAATACAATATGTAACAGAAGATCAATATTTATCTATAAAATAACATTTTTGTCGTGTCTTAAAAAAAATACTTAAAATAACCGATACATCTCGAGTTATTCAAAACCGAACTCGAATCTGGAGACTTCAATAAGACTGTTGACTTTCCCAAGCACTTCATTTTCATTTCTAATTACGCTCCTCCTTAATCAGTGGCGGCGCTAGACCACATGTGGACGTCGGCGACATCAAGTTCGTGAGGCCTATTTTACTTCGCAGTAAAAAACCGTTAAATTAAGTGAGCCAAATTATAAAATAACGTATGAGTAAACGAGTTTTATTGTTGTTAATCAAATGATGACAAAAAATAATTACAAACATAGAAATTTAATTACAAAAATAGTGTTGCCAGACAGACGATTCTGAATACCTGTAAAGTACTACTCGCTTCCATCACGCACGTATTCGAAAATAATAAAAGTCATTATCATCTGCTTAGCTTTTTCCCCGAATTGTTCGGGGTCGGCTACCTAAGCCAGGCCAGCAGAAACGAAAATAAATAGGTAACTTGTAAAAAATTTTTGCGAGGCCGTCGGTGGTGGCCGACGTCGCCGACGCCTAGCGCCGCCACTGTCCTTAATAATACTTTCTCATGTACCTACCTGTCTTTTCTTAACTAAGTATAGTGAATGAACATCATTATTATAATATTCAAAATTAAAACTCACTATCAAAAGAAGCGAACAGATCAGGCATATCGTCCACAGAGACCATACTCCGGTAGTCGAGCCGCGGCTGCGTGGAGCTCGTCGACGACGTTGACTTAGTGTGTGATCGGCCGAAACCGCCCAATGAACTGCGCCTGCGTATTACCAACGGATTAGTTTATTGAATATACAGATGCCGTCTTAGCGCAATATTGCACACTCCCTTTCGCAAAAAATAGAAATTAACTCATATTTATGGTAATTTAGAACATTGTTTCAAGAGCTTACCAATCATTTTAATACTTACAGAAAAGAAGTATGGAATTAGGCCTGATTTTTTTTTCCAAAGTTAAAGATTTAAGGCTTTCTCTTCAAATCACATCGATAATAATTATCTAAAAATCGTTATACAGAATCTAATCTTCAATTTGATATTGCTTAGATATAAGAACTACTTTCATCACATTATAATGCGATGAAATTAAAAGAGCGTGGTATGAATAACAATAGGCAATACCTCCCTTAAATTCCATTTGAATTAATGAAATTACTTAACAACCTTGCATTAAATAAGAATAATACAAGCATAAGTTGGCTCCTGCAAAATTGTGTTTTATCTTTACCACTTTTAGATATTTTTAATAAACTTATACTATATAAACATACAAGGCTGATTAAAAAGTACAGCATTAAAGCTAGCATGCTAAATATTGGATAATATATAACATTAACATAATATGGTGCCTCAAAACATAAACACTCGTGACTGATGGATATGAGCGATGGTTAATCTCGATACATTTCTAAAAGACTGACATGACAATACTATATTATATGAAAACTATATGAAATCGCCATGATAAGAATACTGACCTTAACTACACAAGGAGAAATTGCTAAATCACGTTTTTGTGAATTTCTATAATTTATTTCCCTAACACTTACACAACATACATGCCATTAAAGATACTACACATAATTATTAATACATAAAAAGATTACAATAATGAATCCCGTAATAAATATTTTATATTCAACTCATTTTAAATCTAATAAGTGTGCATAATCAACTTTCGATTCTAGATAAGGCGGTTCATCCGTCATTGTTCCAGACTTCATAAAAACGAGTACTTCGTTCATATACTTTAGGACCAGTAAATGTGTGATGTTGACAAATAATTAATATAAAAGTTTACAAAGCTGTTCTATAATACATTATCTGCTGGTAAACAGTGCCATTTCACCTGAATAAATAATACGTCATTAAAACGAATGCAACAATAAAAAAATATGCGCGTAAACGAATTAATTCTTTATAATATTAGCAAAATAATACCCTCGCTTTAGATAATTTGCTTTATTAGAAATATTATGGAATTCAGCATTGCATATAGATAGACGACAGAACAACGAACAGGGGTGTTACACCTAATAGACGGATAGAAGAGTGATAACAAACATGGCTTAACGGTTCAGCGATGCTACAACGTTTTGACTTTTTAGAACTAAAGTAAGGTCTTTTTCGAACATTCCCAATAATATTTATAATAAGGTTTCAGATCTAATTTTTTAAAGCTGTAATATAACTTAATATTTCATTTTTCTTTCACTTTAAAGGGATATAATATTTCTTACGGCAATACCTGGTACAAAAATCTATCGTCTCGCTATCGCTTTTGTAGCTGTCGCGACAAAATAACAATTGTTAACAAAATAGATAAGGATGTATATAAGAGACGGATTTGACTCCATTTTTTTATTAAAACCCCAGGAAATTAATCCACCCCATCTGAAGTTAATTGTGAGTAGGAAGGCGTACTACCAACCAGACTCACCCTAAAGTACTAAGCAGCTGTGGCGTTAGCGACAAGTCGCGGGGCGTAGTAAACTAAACCCAGGTGTATTTACATAGTTGCGAACTTCATTATCACCAAGTTTTCATAGCAAGTCACACTTTTTTTTTAGATCACGCATTGACAAGCCGCTCCTTTTTTTTATACTTTTTCTCACACAAATGCCAAAGGGTACAAAGACTATACAGCCTAGTCCTCAGTAATACGCAATATGCATTAAATTGCTTTATTTATAAATCTAACAAAATGTTTACTACTAAAAATTTACAAAAAAGAAGTGAAAACGTTTAGCATCGCTCTTATAATTGATAATATCGCTGGCACATCGAATACGCGCACGTACCCGGAGCCGAGCGCGTCGTGCGGCGCTTCCTCTGACGGCGTCTTACTCAGGAACAGGCCCGTGCCGAACTCTACTAAATTCATGGGCGAGCTACTCCACGTTAGCATCCACGGTAGCAGGAAACGATCGCATTTGGTTAATTCTTTTACCGCCTCACTCAATAAAGTCAATAAACTTTAAAGTTTGACAAAAGAAGTTTCAGTATCTTTAAGATTTGAGACAACACGTGACTGCATAAAGCATTAAACTATCAAGTTCAACTAAATAGATGCTGTTACTTTCTTTGACATAACAACAGAATGAGACAACACATGACTCAATAGGGCATTAAATTTTAACTAAACTTGATGCCGTCACTTTCTTTTATATTACAATGAAATAAGACACATGGCTCAATGAAGCTTTAAACTAATTTGACGTTTTTGAGTACGGCTGTTAGTTTTTGTGTTTGTGACTCTTTGGTTAGTAGCAAGCGTTAGTTCGAAGTTTTAATTGGCTGCCTTTGGTTCTGGATGTGGTGTTAATAAGTTAGCGAATGTGTGAATCGCTGTAACGATGCACGATCAGCAGCACGTCGGGCTACCACAAGTGGTACAATTATACAATAGGTTGAAATTTTTTGACAGTTTTGCATAGTCTGAAGACCTGCTGTGTAGATTCAAATAGTTGATGATATCATTTTAATTCGATAATCGCTTGAATGCGACTGCATTCATTTGTATGCAGTTTTTACCGTTTTAGGGATTGTGTTCAAACGATTATCGCTTTAAAGTGGCAACCGCCAACTTCTTTGGCTATAAGTACTTAATTCAATGCACTCTCACTAAAATTCATTCTTGAGTACAGTCATCTCAATCAGTTTCGTTTTCCAAAAACATTGTCGATGCAATGTGAATCATACTTTTGTATATGTCGATGCACTGAACTTAAAAACAAATTTTGCGTATTTTATACAAATGTAGCCCGGTGTGGTCAGTATGTTGTATGAGTCTAGTCAACTTAGTTAGTGACGTTCTAACATAATGACGTTACAGCTGCGTACAATCTGATATCAATCTACGTCTGCTGCCTAGTAATATTATTACGAGCAGATAGCATTTCCACGGAACGTGTCTCAAGATTTACAAATCATTAAGCACATTCTATTGTATGTATTTCACTGGGGTCCTTAGAATTTAAAGTGTTGAGTGTTCACAAAACTTTCTCAGTGCATATTTTATTAGCATTGAGACACGCCACGTATGTTTGTTCAACGCAGCGTGTGCAGCCTTCGACTCGAGTCTGTGTTACGTGACAGCGTTTGCTTTGCGATAATGTACCATAAATTTATGCACAAAAGGTGTGTTTTAATTTACCATACCTGTTGAATACTTTGGAGAAAACGCTAGTGGAATTATGGCTATCGGCCGAAGTGGGTAGGGAGTCTGATTGAGATCCTTGCGCGGGCGCACCTTCACCGGTCAGCCCTTCTACCCAGGATAATGGGTATGAGAGACGCTTCAGCATCTGTTAAACATTTCATAACATTTAACACTAACTGAACAGTTTGAAATCAACTTTTAATTTATATATGGCCACGTTTTCTTTTTAAATAAATATGGCAAAAAAACATTTAAATTAAAAAGATAAACAGTTCAGCAGTGTATTTTTAATAAAAAGTACGCAAACAATATAAGGGGTCATCCATAAATTACGTCACACGATTTTCATGTCTTTTTTGCCCCTCCCCCCGTCCTTGTCACAGCTGGTCACATTTGTAAGACTCCCCCCCTCCCTAGTGTGACGTCACATATTTTGCAAATTTACATTTAGAAATCATTGAATGAAAACAGCGGTTCTGTAATCAGTTTTATTTCCATTTAAATTGTTTTTTCATTATTATTATAATCAAATCAAACAATTAACAAAACAAAAAAAAAAACGATTAATTATATTTATTAAAGAAATTACCGAACAAAAAGTGATTGACTATGTATAAATCCCAAAAAATCTTTGAAAGGTGCAAGTACGATAAAAATAAACCACCGTTCAAATTCAAAGGAATAAATGTATTCGAAAAGAAACCTTATTTTCTAAGGCTTATATAATCGAGTAAGAATCTTAACATCGCCATTCAGACATCACACTATGCAAAATGATGGCGCCATCTAGTGACCGTTGACAACAACACTTTCACCTACTAACATGCATTTGGGGTTTATTGGCGTAAACATACCGCCCCCCATGGACCGAGTGTCCATCAAAAATATTTACTATGCCACAAATCATATTACGCAAAGAACTAAAATATTAAAACTATGCCACAAATCATATGCAAACTTAAACACAACTAAAATAAAACTTACGCGCGTACAATATTCGGCTATTTTCAATCTACAAGCTTTCTACACTACACTACTTATTCTATTATATTTTATTAAAAGCATAAGCATTAGATAAGCCAGCATATTACATTCATACCTACCTTATTATAATAAATTTCACTCTAGTATAGGCAATACTCTTACTTTCGACATAGGCCTTTTAATTATACTAGATCCCTTGCATTTAATACTAACCACTCTAGTGAGCTTATCGGATCCACAATGCTTTTCAACTATCAACCATCGGGCTGGGGGTAAGTCATCCTCCATAATCAACACTATGTCTCCCACCTTTGGTTCCGATAAAACATTACGCCATTTGTAACGATGAAAAAATTGGGTCAAATACTCCCTCGACCATCGTCGCCAAAACTCTTGGACCATTTTTTGAGTTAACTTCCACCTACGTAAACTACTGATATTGGAGTTTTCATAATTATGGTCAGGTACCAATACTAAGGGTTCTCCAACCAAAAAGTGACCGGGAGTCAATGGATATGGATCTAATGGATCAATATCAGACATTTGTGCTATTGGTCTCGAATTGAGACACGCCTCAATTTGTGCCAAAACAGTCGTAATCTCTTCAAAAGTTAGTTTAGATTCCCCTATGACTCGTTTGATATGGAACTTTGTTGATTTGATCCCTGCCTCCCATAGTCCTCCAAAATTGGGTGAACGAGGTGGAATAAAGTTCCAATTAGTGCCATTATTTGAAAGCCAGTTAGCAATTTCGACTGCTACACCGGATCTTTCGCTTTGAAAAAGAATCTTGAGTTCGCGTGCGGCTCCAACGAAATTGGTACCGTTATCGCTCCACAATTCAGCACAATGACCACGGCGAGCACTGAAACGTTTGAAAGCAGCGATAAAACTTTCCGACGACATATCACTGACCATTTCTAAATGAACGGCTCTGGTAGCCATGCATATGAAAAGGCAAATGTACCCCTTTGAAGCATGAATACCCCTGCCCTTTGCGGATCTAACAGCAATTGGACCTGCGTAATCGACTTCACTGCGAAAGAATGGTCTGGCTGGAGTGGCCCTTGCTTCTGGAAGTTGACCCATTAACTGGTGATTTGGACGTGCAGAATAACGAATACAACGTACACATTGACGTATATGACCCTTAACTTGTCGCTTCATGTCGATTATCCAGTACCGCGATCTCAAATGATTCATTGTCAGCTGAACCCCTCCATGCATAGTTCTTTCATATGCGTCAGCTATTATCAAATCCGCTATATGAGATTTGCGAGGTATTAATATGGGATGTTTGAAATCTTCGCATAATGTTCGAACCCTGTCCAGCCTCCCACCGATCCTTAATATACCTACTTGATCAAGAAATAAATTCAAGCTGGAAGTGCTACAATTCTTAGGTACAGGCTTATTTTTAGTGATACTCTGTATCTCTTCCTGAAAAAACTGACCCTGATAATACCTTATACATATATTAAGTGTTTCGCGTAATTCAGTCGTGGTTAGCCATCGTGGGAAAACAGGTTTTGGATCAAAAGAATGGGTGAGTTTGAAAAATCTTCGACAAAATGCCATTGTTCTTACTAACCTACGTAATTTAGAAAATCTAGCCCATATATCATCCTGAATTTCAGATGTTACACAACAAACGGTCATTGATCTCTCTTCAAGGTTGGTATCTTGATTATCTAGTGGACTGTAATTTATAGAAGATTCTTTTAACCAACGTGGACCCTCCTTCCACAACCGTTCGTCAAAGTCATCCAAAGTAGTGATACCCCTTGACGCACAGTCAGCGGGGTTTTCCTCAGATCTAACATGAGACCATTGACTTCTATCGAAGTTTGTTAGTATTTCTGAAACCCTATTCCCAATGAACGTCTTCCATCTACTAGGATGGCTACTCAACCACGCCAAAACAATGGAAGAATCAGTCCAGGCGTGAATATGGCATTTGGGTACAGAAAGGACCTTGGACACTTCCATCAATAACTTTGCTAAAAGGACAGCCCCACAAAGTTCCAAACGTGGAATTGTCACCTGTTTTATTGGTGCTACCTTTGTCTTTGAGGTTATGAGATTTACATGGATACTGCCTTCGTGATCAATCACCCTTAAAAATACTACAGCCGCATATGCTACAACGGATGCATCACAGAATCCATGTAATTCTATGCATGACGCATCGTGTCGCGCTTGAATCCAGCGTGGAATGCGAAAAAAAGAAATTAACGAGAGATTACTTCGGTACTCTAGCCACTCTTTCAACAAATTTGGTGGTAATTCTTGGTCCCAATCGATTCCTGATATCCATAGTTTCTGTATAAGAACCTTGGATGTTATGATCATTGGAGCGATCCAACCTAAAGGATCGAACAAGCGTGATATATCCGAAACCACCTTTCTTTTGGTTACCGGAAAACTTATATCAGGCAACTTGACTGAATATTCAAAAAAATCTGTACCGTTATTCCAAATCAAACCAAGAACCTTTTGTGTCTTATTATCATTACTAGTTTTTATTTCTAATTTTCTTTCACTTCCTCCACTATTCTTTCCTATCTTTTTCAACAATTCTTCGCTGTTACTCGACCATTTTTGGAGCTCAAAACCGCCCTTTTTTAGCAATTCATTCATCTCGCCATACACTTGAATGCCTTCAGAGATTGTTTGACAACCACTCATAAAATCATCAATATAAAAATGATTGACAACTCTCTGAGCTGCTAAAGGATATGCTGTACCTTCATCTTCGGCGAGCTGTTGTAGAGCCTTAACTGCTAAATAGGGTGCTGAAGCGGTGCCGAAAGTAACCCGATCAATCTTTAGAATCTGCAATTCCGACTCATTTCGCCAGAGTATTCGTTGGAAATTAGCATCAAGATCGCATACTTTAACTTGGCGGTACATTTTAATAATATCTGCTGTGAGACAAATGGGATGAATACGCCACTGCATAATTATATGACGAAGATCTGCCTGTAATGTTGGCCCTACCATCAACTCACTATTTAGTGAAATTCCGTTGCTTCCGGGACATGACGCATCAAACACTATCCTCAATTTTGAAGTAGATTTGTCCTCTCTAATAACGGCGTGATGAGGCAAATATACTGAGTCAACGTCAAGTTCTTGTAAAGGCACTTGCTGCATATGGTCAAGTTCTAGATACTCAGAAATGACTTCCGAATACCTCTTCTTAAATGTTGGATCTCTTACAAATCTTCTCTCCAGCATTACTAGTCTTCTTTCCGCGATATTCTTAAAATTTCCGTATTTACACTGCGGATTATCAGTATGAAATGGAAGTCTAACGATATATCGTCCAGTTTCGTCTCTACGTGTAGTTTTTTTGAAATATTCTTCACATAAAGTTTCCTCTTCTGTGAAAATCTTTTCCTTTTCAGTGGGGGGTGCCTCTAGTTCCCAAAACTTGCGCAAAATATCGTTTTCGTTAATTTGAGCGTGCATACTAACGATGTTATGACACGTTGTGGAATCAGCTAAAGATTCTGGAAGAATCTGACCAGATAAAATCCATCCGAGTTTGGTATTTTGGGCTAACATAGGGTAACCCGGAGGACCTTTGAGTACACCATCATCCAAAATCTGGCCGTATACTTCTGCTCCCAGCAACATGTCAATTCTGCTCGGGATGTAAAACTGTGGGTCAGCTAATTTAACTAATTTTATTTCAGATAAGACTGGCCACGGTTTATAAGTGACCCTTCTTGTAGGAATCACTTATAAACCGTCGAAGGAATCCGGCTCGAAGGACCTTGTATAAATCCCAAAAAATCTTTGAAAGGTGCAAGTACGATAAAAATAAACCACCGTTCAAATTCAAAGGAATAAATGTATTCGAAAAGAAACCTTATTTTCTAAGGCTTATATAATCGAGTAAGAATCTTAACATCGCCATTCAGACATCACACTATGCAAAATGATGGCGCCATCTAGTGACCGTTGACAACAACACTTTCACCTACTAACATGCATTTGGGGTTTATTGGCGTAAACAGACTATGTTAATTAAAGAAATTAACAAAACATAAAATATTAATAGCATTATAATTAAATTAAAGATACAAACTTAATAATCTTGAGTCCATGGACATTGATCCCACTCCTTTAAATTATTTATAACTGGCATAGCACCACTTTGTTCTCGTTTGGGTTGTTAATGCTTTCGTAAAGTAATAGTTTCAACACTTAGATTTTAATATATTTTGAAATGTGACGTCACGAAATTTAGGACCCCTCCCACCCCTTGTCACACGATGTCACATTTCGTCGACCCCCTCCCTACCCCTTAAAGTGTGACGTAATTTATGGATGGCCCCTAACAAGATACAACAAAACAGTTAACAACATTTTAAGAAATATTTAAAATGTACCTTTACGCTGATTACTATTTACCTGTTCTTATAATTCCATCACAATTATATTTCAGTTATAGGTATTAAAAATCTAACTATAGAGCGATTAAAACTTTAAGATGGCTGTGAAGTTAGCGCTACTACGGACAGGTTTTATTTGAGTCATATCTCGCCACCATCATTACCACATTATCCTACATTTTGTTTATTGTGCCGCAACTTCCGCTAACTTCACAGCCGCCATTGAGTTTGGATCGCGCTACACTTACCTTATTTTTCTTGTCAGGTTTGGACGCGTCTTCCTTATGCGTGTTGCCGTCGAGTGAGAAAGACACAGCTGCCGGTTTTCTCGGCACTCTGTCATTCTCACCCAGAGGCGGAGCAGAGAGGGGGGGTTCGGTTCGCGGAAGACATACGGGCGGCACCCACTCGGCCGATAGAACGATATCCGCGTCGCTGTATACCTGAGATAAGATTATAGCCCTTAATTAAAATGTTTCATAGTTCATTATATTTTTTATATAAAGCACTAATCTGCTTGATTAACTGCCTTGCAGCGTAAGAAATTCGACACGATCATTAGGTGCTCGGTTAGTGCATCCGCCCGGATAGCGGAAGACGCAGGTTTGGGTTCAGCCTGAAACCTTAACCGAGTTTAACATTTTTCTAATATAAATTATCTTTAGATTTACAAAGCGTAGTTTAATGTTCGTTTTGGTTAGGAACAAACGATCAGCAGTATGCTGTATTTTTAGGTTCGTTTGTGATATGTTGCGATAAAAATAATTATAATTTTTTCTGTCTCTGAACGCGTTTTCAGTGTAATAAAACTAAGATAAGACCATATTAAACTAACATATTATATACATACTTATAATAGCACAAAAAATACATTAAAAGCAAAGGAAAGATTAACGTTTAGACCAGAATAAGACGTTGTATCCTTTAAACCTCAGTAATATTTCATGGATTTGGAAATGCCGAAAAAACAAGAAATAGCAAAGAAGAGCCCTCTGGAAGAAAAACAAACACATCAAAATATAAAAAATAAAGCAATAATTGGAAACCTGCTACCATAAAATTACAGAAACAAGATCAATTTTATATCAGTACCAGATTGCAGTTGAAATATCAAGGAAATCTTTTTAATTGCCATCTAGCGTATGATCGCGATTTAAGATTCGCACAAACGTTAGGACTGATTCTGGATGATCTAAAGAACCAAAAATAAAAATCAACACCTTTATATTTTGTCATAATCTTTACGAACGAACGAAAAGGAAAGGCTCTTGTCAATTTTAGATATGAGATCAGAGACTCATGCCAGAATCAAGCCCATTGTGAAATTGTCACTTACAAAAAATATTAACATAATATCTATCAATCGAGCACTGATATTTTGGTCTATACTTAGGTTTACTTACAGAAAGAATGCTTGTAAACAAATCAGAAATCACCTATATTTAACCTTGTAAATACATTTTTATATTACTTTCTCAAGTGATACCCGATTTCAATGCATGCCATTTTGTTTATGAACATTCTCTCCGTTAGTTCACCTAGGTCCACTTACAGCAAATTTGCTAGATCTTGATTCAAGTAAGACAAGATTTAACCCATAGAAAAATGACAAAACGTCATGTCTATTTGACATTATTGTATGGGCTAAATCTAGTTTTAGTTAAATTGAAATTAAGCAAAGATGCTGCAAGAGGAGTTTAAGCACAGCTGTAATTTCGCTTTACATATTTAGACCCGGCTGACGTCACTCAAGTCCTCCACAAATGAGCACCGTATAACCCGGCAATTTTTTCACCTCGTGTGAAGAGTTGGACACGACATCGTCATCGCTGTGAACCAAATGGAACTTCCGAAGGAAATTATTCTCGTAAGTGTGGTCACAGTCCCAGTTGTATAATGAAGGGTCTGGTTCGGCCGTCTCGTATATGGTGTCCGGTAAGATGTCGTGGTAGTAGTCTTCTTGGTCTCCTAGTATTATGTGATGGAACTGATGCTCCTAAATAGATAAATAAATTTTCACAACTCCCCGCATCAATCTCGTTATTTCATAATGGAAAAATGTCATAAATTACCATTTTAATGTGTGAGAACTATGGTAATTATTAGCAGTTTGGATTACAGACAACCCAAGCTTACTAAAATGGTCAATTCTGATGGGAGCTTGGCCCCGCAAACGGAACGGGAGAAATGGAACATAGATTGCTTGAAAAAAATAGTTGAAATTTTTCGTCGTTATTTGAGCACTTCCGTTGTCAGCAGCACTGTTTGCTTTGGTACGGAAATTACTGAATGGTTTTGGCAAGCAAATCCTTTGAGTGATAGACATTAGCCCCCTTATTAATAAACGCAAAATAAGCTTGGATCAGTTAATCCCTTTTTTGTCTCTGTTCGTTGAAGGACACATGGCATTTGAGTGAAAAACACGGCGGAACTAGTCTAAGCTTATTCCTTGTTTATTCATAAGGGGGGATAGTGTTTGCATCAACAACCCCTTGGCGTTGCATTTGAAATCATAAATTTCATATAGTACTGACCTTTTTAGCGTTAGTGGGCGTGACATGAAGCAGGGGGTCTCGTATGTCGATGCCGGAGTCGTGGTAGGACAGTTTCACTAGATATTGCGCGTCGTCTGCAGGGGCGTCTTGTATTTCTGGCACTTCTGGTACGTCGCCCGCGGTGCTGTTTACTCGAGAACGGGGGCCGCTCGCTTCGAGACTTTCTTCTTTGGTTTGCTCAGTAGACGATACCTTTGAAGAAAGAAAACATTCATCCAATAAAATATAGATTATTTAAGTTTCTTTTTATCGTATTTATAACCATTATGTGAAAAGATATTTTAGATAAATATTATATTAACGCACCTCGCTTCCTTGGTCGATCGACATCCTGTCTTTACTTGGGATCGCCCAGTGATGGTCGAGTAAGGATTTCCGCCTATCCTCAGCGGTCTGTTGCTGAAAAAATTACAAAATCATTAAAAATAATGTTAAGAGGTATGCTTCTCATGATATTTAGTGAATTAAATACGATCGTCAGTTTTTGTGACAGCATCAAAGAAGTTTCTGTCATCCGCTACCGCGCTATTAGGACGTTTGTAGATTTTCTTATTATCCATAATTGCGTGTACTAACGCAATTATGGACCGTTCTCGAGATTTACCAAAATGAACAGTACCCTAACCACGAACCAATAAGGATTAGATCTCGATGCGCGTCAAATGTCAAGAAGTTTTGTATGGAAGATGTTAAATTCTCTTTACGTCCGTCGTGGCGCTGTTAATGATTCCTTAAAAAACTTCTTGACTTTGATCGAATACAACTTCTATTCGAATTCGATATTGGTTCGTGCTTAGTTTACTGCACCCGAAGCACCAATTTTACCAGATCTTAATGGCGCAGGTGTTTAACGCGTTCGGTCTGCGATTGTGGAAGTTGAGCAACTTTCGCTATAACTGATCATTGGATGGCAAGCCAAAAAAATAATATCTCGAACTCCACCGCCCATCGGAAAACACGTGAAGCCGTTGGTCTAAGCATATGCAATCTTTAGCAGCCACCAATCCGCACTAGGCGGGCGTGGTGGGTCACGGCGCAATTTCCCTATTCCAACCATAGGTAAGCCTGGTGGCCCAGCAATGGAGACAATAGGCTGATAATGGTAATGACATCGAAAAACTGTTCTTTGTATTTTTGCGTTATATTTAATTGTTACCAAATTACCTAACCCAACCGCAACAAATCAAACTTATTCGTATTATGGTACAGTATGCTGATGAATATACCTGTAATGCATTAGGAGTCACAAGTTTCCGCTGGAACGCCTTGGGGAACGCCGCGCCTCCACACACATCCGCGTTCGCCGACGTGGGCCGCTCGTCTGTCTCCCCTTCGGCCACACCCGCCCACAACTAGGCTGATGATGATAACTATACCTGTAATGCAGTAGGAGTCACAAGTTCCCGCTCGAAAGCCTTGGGGAACGCCGCGCCGCCACACTCATCTGCGTTCACCGACCCGAGTCGCTCGTCTGTCTCCCCTTCGCTCACACCCGCCCACAACTAGGCTGATGATGATAACTATACCTGTAATGCAGTAGAAGCCACAAGTTCCTGCTCGAACGCCTTGGGGAACGCCGCGCCGCCACGCTCGCCCGCGTCCGCTGACGTGGGCCGCTCGTCTGTCCCCTCTTCCCCCGCCCTGCCTACACCTAGGCTGATGATGATAACAATACCTGTAATGCAGTAGGAGTCACAAGTTCCCGCTCGAACGCCTTGGGGAACGCCACGCGCCGCCACACTCGTCCGCGTTCGCGGATGTAGGCCGCTCGCCTATCTCCTCTTTCCCCACACCTAGGTTGATGATGATAACAATACCTGTAATGCAGTAGGAGTCACAAGTTCCCGCTCGAACGCCTTGGGGAACGCCGCGCCGCCACGCTCATCAGCGTCCGCCGACGTGGGCCGCTCGTCTGTCTCTCCCTCCCCGCCCGCCGCCTGCAACTCGGGGAACGTCTCGTCCTGTGAGCCGCACCAATGGTACTAATTTTTATACTACACTTAATTATTTAATTATATGAACAAGCCGATCGCACGTCATTTTTATGTAACTATGATCGCGACTGGACTCCACTTTCAATGAGGGTTTGAACGACGGGCGCCAGGTGGCAGCACTGAGACGAAAGGTCTACTCAGCCGTCAAATCACTTAGGTCGTCGTAGTTTATGGATAAATTGAAATGCTCGTTCGATTAATTCGCGATAAAAACTAAATACAAAAGTCCTCATGTCATAGTGGCGCCAACTGGTGGAGTAAACTTTCCTAAACACCATCATTCACATCAAGAATTGTTTGCTGCCTAAAAAAACTGGCCAAGGGCGAGTTGACCATGCAAACGAAAGGAGAGCTGAAGTTGGGTTCTAGGAATTTTAAATAGATATTACTATCGGACAGGACAAGGTCAGTCGTGTCTGCTACTAGTTGTAAAATGTTTTGTAGTTCCAAAATTTCAATAGTTATATTGGTGCGATTCTGGCATGATTCTATAAACCCAAAATTAAATTAGACAACAGTGTATCCTTTTCATTCTGTATTCAGAATGACAAGGATACACTGTTGTCTAATGATCTGAATGATCTTAAATTTAGTTTGAAGTTTAGAGAATCATGCCAAAATCGACACCATTATCTGAATTAATTGTAGATTATAAATACTTATCACTTACTTTGACTAGAAGTGAGTCTTTTCCAGGTGAATGTTCCGACTTATTCATATAGTAGATTTCAGGCTGCTCAGTTCTGAAATTGAAAAGAACAACAATACGTTAGCAATCTGGTTTTGCAAAATAAGTTAAACCTAATGTTGCATTCATTTTCGATTGATAAAACGAAAACATTTTTTACCAATTAAACAAATAATGGTTGTTAAACTATACTGGCTTATTGCGCGTTGTATTGAAGACACAAGTGTTAATGGTAGAGTCAAGGTCACGTTAATTTAAATACGTTGACGAAGCTTTATTGCTTGGTAATAAGATAGTTATTCGTAATGCAAGTGAATTTACAAGGTACAACGTAACAATTATACGTAATTAACTTTTTATCTACACGACGCTGTGTTTATATATAATTGAATAAATTTTATAATAACTTCGTAAATTCATAGCTATAGATACAGTGTAAGAAAATCGCGGTCTATCTCTTTTGCGTGATAACCGCTTAAACTTAATCCCAACAAACAGAAGGACATTACTATGAATCGACATATTGTTATTTTTTATTTTTAACTTTAAGTTTATGACGCTCGTAACATTCCTGTTTTAATGTAAATGTCTGCACTCGTAATAAGTTGCAGATGACTGGCTTTTTGACAAAGATATGTTTATTGATAAAAACGCAGTAAAAGGAGAACAACGACTTTGTATAGAGGGTTGGTACATATACCAAGTTCTTTGTACAGAAGCAAGATATATACCATTGTAAAGCTTATTATTAATGTTTACTGCCAATCTTTAATTGAATTCGATAGCTAGTTGGGTTAATGAGATATATGGATTTAAATTAAATAAAAAATATTTTAAGTATAAAAATGTTTTTTTTCTGGTGAAATCTACATAATAAACATATTTTTTAACTAATTTGGAACAACTAAATGTCTACAGAGACATAGCACTCAAAAATATTCAATAATAGCAAGCACGCTACTATGTTGACACATACCTACAATCACCATAAGGATGGTTGACCACATGGACAGTGAAGCTGTTAATATTTTTAATGCTTCATCAGAAATTATTACAAAAATATGCTGAGGGCCAATAAAACTAACATAATTACTGTAATCACTTTACAATATTCATTATATTTTCCTTTTTATGATTTCTCTCACAAGTATATCGTTTAAACATGTGGCTGGAACAATTGTTGGGGCCAGACATTATAATGTAAAAATAGGACTAACTTGTGCGTGTTATTGTGGTCTGGACCGTGCGTGCGCATATGCGCAATGTCATAGAATATGGCCGCGTTGACGACATACTCCATGGGCGCTATGACGCCATACGATTCCGGACCATGTTCCATCACCAGCGTGTCCGACACGTTAGGGTCAAACATCACAGCGTTGGGCGTCACCAATAGCACGCCTGAGACTACACCCTGCAAAATTAAAAAACGAAGCATTTGAATTTTAGTAGTTTACAGCTCGGCTTGCGATCGTGGAAGTTAAGCATCCTTCACAAGTCGGTCATCGGATGGGTGGCTCAATACGCGAACGACTCAACGTTACTCGATCTCCTCCGTACATTGGTAGGCACGTTAAACAATTGGTCCCGGCTGCATCAGCAGTCGTTAGCACCCATAAATATGTACTGGGCCCGCGTGTTGGGCTGTTGGGTCACGCGGCCCCATCTCCCTATTCCATCCATAGGGAAGGCCTGTGCCACTTCAGCGGGGACATTAATAGGTTGATGATGGTGATGATATGCAAATCAGTTCTTTCGCGAAATAATTTTTTCGCGTAATGTTAATTGTTTCCAAAAATCTTTTAAATGTTAAAATAAAAACTAGGAAACATGTTCATTCGTCTTATGTACACTTTTGGTTTAAGAAAAAGTTTGGAACAGATGTTGAAGCAGGTGCATTGTAATATTTGAGTGTCATTTGCATTTGGGGACTGGACATCAGGTTAGTAACTGGGTTACAAAAATTTCTACTGCGGAAATTTATTTGTCTGTGGTTTTGCTCAAGAAGTTTGCCTGTACCTATGTATATTAAAATATTCATTCATCATTCTTGAAAAAAATAATATACCTATTATTGCGACATGTAAAAATGCATTCTAATCTGCGCGACACGTGCCATTTACTAGTATTTAAATCCTTACTTTGGTATCGTTTAAACTTATAACAATAAGTCTTCAAGGTGATATTAATTGTGCAAATAGTAATGCCGATGTCTATGGATAACACAATAAACATCGAAAGGAGTCAACTTGATACTCATCAGTCTAATAAGTAGGGATACAATTTGACTCACAGCTCAAACAAACTCATATGTTTTTAACAACTTAGTTTTTATTCTATGTGGAAGGTCATCATATAACCATCTTTTGTTTCAAAATAAAAAGAACACGTAAGATTATATGAAACCGTAATTTATTTGTTTACTTTCGAAACATCTGTATCAACAATATACACAGTCAGGTCATAAGTATTGTCACACAGTAAAAACTTTTCTTTTAGAATGCCGACCACAAAAAAGTTTATTGAATTCGAATTTCGAATTGTTCATGAAAATAAAAATGTATACTTTTTAGTTTTTACTCCTTTTTAAATATGGAGTGGACGCTTAAAGAAGACCGTGTTGCAGTTATTGCGTTGCATCGTTGCAATTCAAATTTTTGACATACTGAAAATTTTGAATATAACCAAAAGATTCGTTTATCGTACCATCAAACGATACAATGAAGACTCTAGTGTAGATGACAGGTCAAGAAGTGGTCGCCCACGGTCTGTTAGGGCTCCAGCAGAGATAAAAGCTGTGAAGGCGCGAATTCAAAGAAATCCCAAACGTAAGCAGAAACTGTTGGCCCTTCAGATGGGGTTAAGCAGAACCACGGCGAAAAGGGTGTTAAATGAAGACTTAGGGCTTTGGGCATATCGAAGAAAAACAGGACATAGTTTGAATGCTCGTCTAATGGACCTGAGACTGAAGAGATGCCGCGTTTTGTTGAAGCGGTACGTGGGAAAAAAATATCGGGAAATTCTTTTTTCGGATGAAAAAAATTTTACCGTAGAAGAGAGCTACAACAAACAAAATAATTAGGTGTACGCACACAGTAGTGAAGAAGCGAGCTACCGTATTCCTCGTGTCCAACGAGGTCATTTTCAACCCTCGCTCATGGTATGGTTGGGAGTTTCTTATTGGGGCTTAACAGAGGTACATTTTTGTGAGAAAGGTGTAAAAACGAATGCAGTTGTGTATCAAAATACAGTCCTGATGAACCTAGTGGAATCTGTTTCTCATACCATGTTCAATAACTAACAATGCAAATGTGGGGCATTTGAGTATGATGAGTGCGAATGACTAGCCATTGCATAGCTTAGCTTCCCAACGTGCTAATCACCGCGTGACCGAGCTTATCATAATCACAAAGCATAATCTTACTTGTGTCGATGACATCTACCAATTATTTCACGTTGACAGTAATAAATACATTATGGCTTCAAATAACAATACCGTAAGTAAAGTATGTCTCGACTTTCACAATTAATTACATACTCAATGTCACGTAGGTACGAGTATACCGTAGTTCGCGATTACTAACAACGTTAATGACTAAGTTCGTTGACCGCGACACAGAAATGCTTACGAGGGAACCAAAATTTGTTTTAAAACATTGTAATGATAAGTGTTGGTGGAAAGGAATGTAAGTAAAAATTAATTACGAGAAAAATAGATGTTAAAAAAATATTTATATAGAGGCGAAAGATGTGGAAAATCTAGGCCAAGTTTAGGTTACCCATAATGAGGGTCGTTACTTTTTAAGTTGTACGAATTGTTTTTGTGGTTCTTTAATTAGATGGCATCTACCCTCTGCCGTAGAGTTAAATGCCAGTCGAGTAAAAGAGGCGTCGGTGCAAGTATCGTATCTATACTACCCCGTCTTGCAAATTTGGTGAGAAAAAAGATGAACTAAAAATAAGAATAAAAGAAGAACACAGTCCCGACAATAAAAATTACCTATTAATTTAAAATCACGATGTTATCGATTTTATAAATATGAGAGAGAACAAAAAAATTAGAACACTATAAAAGAAGAAAAAAAAAATGCCCTGGATTTATAGATGTTCGCATTTCGTATTTCATAATTGTATGCATATTACAGGCCGATAAGACTTAATTACACTAACAGCCGTAACACGTTTTATGTTATACAATTCAAATTAATTCAAGTCTTACAAAAGTGTAATAAAGTGAGCAGGCCAAGAACAAAAACATACCTACATTAAGAATGTGTAAATACATTCCAAACTTATTTACAATGTTTTAAGAAACGTTGGTGTGTGATACATTAATTTAAGTAATACGTTTAAAAGGTATGTAAACACGGAGACTTAACTAAAAACCGGACAAGTGCAAGTCGGACTCGCCCACCGAGGGTTCCGTACAAATTTGTAGATACATTATATTGTAATTACTACATTATTGTGTTTTATAAGTGAAATTGTAGTTATGCTAATGAAGCTTTTTCCTATGATACCCGCCGCATGACACTGTTGACTCACTTCGAAAATTAGACCCCCATTCCTAGCATAAAGACCCTGTTTTTTTCGTAACTTAATTAAAAATATACGGCTTTACAATTTTCTTTTCTGTACAAATTAATAAAAGCTTAAAAAAACTACAAAGAGATTAGGCACCTATACAATTATGAACGAGCATACTGTTTGCTTATCCTCAATGAATGTAGCAAATGTAATTTTTTTAAACGTTTTCCGGTAATAGCAGTATTAGACGATATTACTTGCTAAATTTCTTAGTTCTAGGTCAAAGGAAAGTATCATCAATTTCGATTCCCTTAAGAGCGTCAAATATGTATACGTTTTTTGCAAACAAAAACGGCCGTATCTTTTTTTTACGTATACTTAGAAGTTTGATTTTTTTAAAGCTTAAGGGATGTAGACCTGACTTGGGGTCTTGACAGGCAGACGGACCGAGGACCGACGGGCAGACAGACAACAAAGTGATCCTTTTTCCGTTTGAGGTACAGAACCCTATAAATGTCCACATTTAATTACTGCTTTCACTCAAACTTAACAGCGGAAAGACACTCAAAACTTAAATAAAATGATCGTGACCATGCGCAAGCGCACATTGCCTTAAAGAGCCACTACTTTACCTATGTTCATATAGTGATAAAGTCTACCTGTCCATCTGTGATATGGCGAACGTTGATCTTGAGGAACCGTTGTGGGCCGCTGCTACTACTGGTGGGAGCCTCCGGTGACACCGGCCGCAGACTGTCCAAGATTTCTGAACGTAATGAACAAAATTCTTAATTTATTAATGATGTCTATGCAAAGAGCATAATTTATGCGAAAATAGTGAAGGTTCTAAATAGCCAACATATTTAATAAAACAATTAAGAGTTTCGTGTACATGTAATCATCATCATCAGCCTATTAATGTCCCAACTGCAGAGCCACAAGCCTTTCCTATGGATGGAATAGAAAGACTGGGTCGTGCGTGACCCACCACGCGGGCCCAGTGCGGATTAGTGGGTGCTAACGGCTGCAGATGCAGTCGGGACCAACGGCTTAACGTGCCTTACCTCCGTAAGGAGGAGGAGGAGGTCGAAATAATAGTTTTTGGTGACCCATCCAATGACCAACCATTGCAAAGGTTGCTTTACTTTTACAAAACGATCTTGTCATTTAATAGTTTTTGTATAATGTAAGATTTTACATACTTAATTAACAATAACAACAAAATAGCGGGAGATACAAAGAACATAATACTAAAGAACAAGAATAATACGTAAAATTATGTATTTCGTACTGGTAAGCATAGGTGCATACGAAAATAGTAAATCAATCAGTTTTAAAGTAACTGCATTATTATTAATTTGAAAGTGATACTTTAAAATAATGTTTTATATAATGGATCTACGGTTTCGGATTTTTATTATTTTAATACGGGATCAACGATATATCCTAGATATATCACGAGAGCTCAAAATGTGTCCCAATCAAGAAGTGCTTGAACTCCACTCAAGCAATTCTTGGTTCACAGTCGCGTGACTGTGAACCAAGCGACAAGCGAACCGTTGAAAAGTCAAGATGCCCCAGAGCTCCGTGAAAAAATGCGAATAAAATACTTATAGTACATAAAGTGTCATTTTTTCGACAGTTATCTAATCAATGATTGTTAACTTAACGCATTTGAAGCAACATTTGTTCTAATACTTACTATTAACTGATTTAATCAAATATATTTGTGATATTTAAATGCATGGTCGGTTATACGTCGCCGTATAGCAGTCTCTTTTCCTCGCGGTCCGTCCCTGCTATAATGCTTAAAGCACATTCAGAATTGCTCGTAGAGTAAAATGAATAAGGTCTATGTTCTTCCGCATATAGCAATAAGTTGTAAAATTTTACGAGCTTGCATTTCGAACTGTCATAAGTCTTTGACGCATGCGTTCTAATTAAGACCTTATTTTGTATGCATTAAAAGTGATTTTCAATGTTTAAATGATGCCTTATATTGTTTTTGACCACTCGATCATCTTACGGAGCTCCGTGGATCGTCCAATGTACCTTTTGGACACTTTTCGGTCATTATTTTGTTCGGTTATTTATAAGATAGCTAATTAGGTACAATCTTGCCACAATAATTTTGTCGGTTATTAAACATAAGTAAGTCTTACAAAATTTGCGGAAGTATATTACCGTTTTTATAATTATACCAGTAATGTTTAAAATCAATCAAAGAACTAACAAATTAAAATACCGAGATTAGAACACAGAACTTCAGCAAAAGCACCTCAAGTATTCGACAGTCATAATAACCGATGAAACATATATAGATTTAAGAAAATATAATACATAGTTAAGAATTTTATAATTATACTTGGTAGGTTCTCAACTAAAAACATAATTGAAATAATTTTGTATCAAATACAGCGTTGAAATGGTAACATTCGAGATTTTAATAATCCAGTGTTAGAAGATGAATGGTTGGAAATCAAATAATACTTTAGTACTTCCAAGTCGCATGACTTTAATAATTTTAACGAAAGAACAGAGCGGCACCCAGATTGCGTGTTTATAACGAAACAATTTTCAAACATGCACCGAGACATTTACTGCAGTAATTTGATGGAATAAAAAACAAAGAAAGCAAATGAGACGTGCTTGACGTCTTTTGAGTTGAAATACTCAAAAAAAACATGCTTAAAAACAAAAAAAATAATGTCGATGAGGTTTATTGAAACGTTTTCCGTTGAAAACGTGTTCACGTACATATATATACATACAATTTAAAAAACGCATTGATGGAATCGTTATCGCCTATGGAAATTATTGGATAACATTTGACGTTTCGATAAGGAGGTAGGTATTCCGTAGGAAAACTGAAACAAAATTCGGCAGTAGGGTTGCGAATCGTATTACGACATAAAGAAAACAACTAAACTGAGTATTACGTAGGAGTTAATGTTTTGGTCATTGGTAAAACAAGGACGGACAATGAATCAATATTTAATTTAATAATTGACATAAGGAAGTTAATACCAATGAATAATTTACCTTTTTCCTGTGCAGGCTCACTGGGTGGACCTTGCGTCGACTCGGACGTGGTGTCGCCGCTCTCCGACGGACCGTCCGACTCTTTATCTCCATCTGGGAAACCATAACAGCATCATCAACACTTGGTTCGATCACGCAATGCATCACATAACAGCCATTGCACACTGTATTGAAAAAACCCACCGTGATACCAGCGCTTTAGGAATTCAAAACTGAACATTTTCGTGCTGATACGTTTACGTCAACGTCCATTATATCGGTAGAGTTATCGCGCACGATAAAGCCGAATCATATCTTTATAGGTGGCGCGCTCCTACTCAGTCGTACGGTTTAATGAATACAATCGGGTCAGCGTGCCCCTTTTGATATAAAAATAGGAACCGTTCAGCGCGTGATGTTGGCTCGCTGGCGCGACAGCGTCTGCTCTTGCGCCGTCACAACTGTTTGCGGTGTAAATAGGAGAAAAATTGTTTCCATGTCTACGTCATGCGCGACCGACTAGCGCCAAGGTTGTATGTCATTGTTTTGTTTAACGGCTGAACAGCTCGTCGCTGCACATAATGCACGCAGTGCAAGCCTGCACTTCTGAAATGATCGCTAAAGTTTTGTTTACACGAAGGTCCACGTGTGCGGGATACTAATGAACAAATAAATAAAAAAAAGCCTCCAAATAACACAGTGGTTAATATATCTTTAAGAAAAAGTTTTGGTAATATTAACAAGAGAGCACCGATCTTCCACAGCATGGTTACAGATTTAGACTAGTTGACACTGCCAAAAAGTCTGAATCATAATTAATATAATGGGATCAACAAATCGATTTTTTTTTTTATAAATATAGTTTGACAGATTAAATAATGAGATAGATACTGATCTTCAAAGTATTGTGTAATCGCTAGGAGGACAATAAAATTAACAATTATGTTTTATAAGAAATTAATTACGGAAATGTATATTTTAACTGAAAACCTAGAGCATACTTATAGGTACTGCACCACTGTCATATCACATGACTCAGGTAGGATTACTGACATGATGCATGATGATAATGACTAAGCGAGCATTCATAACATAAAAGAGGTTATCACTCAAAACCGTCTAGATACTTTATTGGAAGTCATACATCTCGTTAAAGATTTCGAGAAGTCCTATTCAAATTGACAAATCACTGAAAACGTCGAAGGCCGGGTGTCGTAAACAGAGTTTCTCGTTTATAACATCCGTCACGGTTAAGTTAGAGCTTCAATACTGACGTAAAGTAAAACGTAAAACCAATCACGAACATGTATTGTACTGAAATTGACATAAACGTTTTTAAAATCAAGTCTGCGTTATTCAAGTTATATGACACAAAATTTGTTACATAGTTCAGCTTCTGTATTATGTGCTATATTTTAGCAAAATGTTGCATTTACAAACAGATTTTTTGTTGATGCTGTTTTATTCATAGAGTTTTGTTTTTAGTTTGAAATACCGGTTTGAAAATTCAAAATCAATTACACAGAAACAAATAAATGCTTACTGCTCCGTATATTTAAGTTTAAGAAAGATTTAAAAATAAGTATATCCCATAAACCAGTTTTCTTTAATGTAATATGCCATCCTAAAGTATAATCAGTTTACTGGTTGTGAAATTAGTGAAAAAGCTTTTTTAACTATTTTACGAAAAATGAAAAAGGAAAAAATCAAAAGAGGCTTTTAAAGGAAACAGCTTTTAAAAGAACTCGACAAGTAGTTTTGACTGTCGCATGACAACGCAACCCGGTCATTCACCACTGCAAAATAGGTAGGTATTGCACGTTGGGAATTTCTGATAGTACATGAAAGCAGTTCTCAATTGACTTGAAAGAAATCCAATGTCATATTTCCTAGTATAATTACGTATTTTAATTTATCGCTGTGATCGGTACAATAAAATTATCTTCGTTGAAGTTTAAGGACGTCTTTACCAGAATTAATAAAAGGTACTTTTTTTTAATAGGCTGCAGACCGCAACTGCATACTGCCGGCATATGCTAGAGTTGTCATCTTTTAAATTATAAAAGACGGTCATGGCTTTGAATAATCTCAGACATTAGTCCATAAAAGCTAGACAAGAGACCGACATCCTCTATTACTTTTTTGTCTTGCAGGCAAACACCACAAAACATAGACCGAAAGCCTTTTGTCTATTATGTACTCGTATGTATCGGAAAAGCCGAAAAGAAAAATTTTGCTGGTCCTACGAAAACAAGGCTAAACCTGTATCAAACCTACATGTACCACATGGCAACACTACATGCAGCGACTGCGAGCAGTCGGTCGCAGTTGCACGACTCAATTTTAATGGACTTCTATAAAAATAATTCCGAATGAAAAGATACAGACTGCATTGTAACAAAAACAAGTTCAATTGCACACCATGACACCGTCATCATTAATATCAAAAAATGCCTTAATTTTGACAACATACAGAGTTACGGTTAATATGCAGCAAAGTAATTTATTGTAATTTTAATGTTATGATTAATTATTATTATTACACGCTTTCTTGACAGCCAGTTAGTTCGTTCTCGTGTCCACCATGAACCTTTCCATATATATAATTTTTGACTAACTGACAGTGAAGAGATTTGCAAGGATGAATATGGCACCAACTTCTGCCGTCTCGTAAATTTAATAAAGTTTTTGTGTCACAGACTACTAGCAAGATGCAGCATACGGTTAAATGATTTAATAAGTTGAGTGATTCAACAAATTTCTTAAAACGTGTAAGTATATGTTTTCAGAATGTACCAAACAAAACTCTCAAAAATTTTGACATAAAATTTAAATATAAAATGTAGGAAACTTTGACATTTGTTGCACCTGAATCGTAGTTTTTGAACATAGTGTATATATAACCCTGTGTATTTTGTGTAAGACAGCCACGTGAGAAGTAGACGACGTGTTTAGAGAAACATGTTTTAAATATAAAGTTTTGCGTACGTGTTTTTTTAATGTTGTAAAAAAACTTTTGATGGAGACAGTCGAGGAAGATTGTTGTCTGTTAATCTAAAGTTTTTCTTCTGACATGATTGTTCAATATTAAATACCTTTGCAATTCTTGTTCAAGAGGACCGAATATGATTTATATACAAAACTGATTTCAATATTATGTTTTTGCGTTTGATGGAGAGAAACATATACCTAACCACTATTATTTTTTTACTAAAAAAGACTAGCTATAGCCATTATAGGTTTAGAGGCTAACCGTAAAAACTTCATCCGATTATGTTCGTCGCCGGTTGATCACATTTTTCGCCAAATTACTGGCCAGATCAATTAAAGTCCCAGACTAAATTCCTTCCTTGATCCTCTAGCTAGACAATTTGGTTATCTACTAATCGAATCGACAGCGACACTAGAAAATGCTTGCGAAGCGTGACGTTTCTAAGCTTTTAATTACGAATAGTAACATTCTGAAAAGGTTAAAGATGATCGTCATTTGTCTTGATTTTATTTATTTTTTAAGCATTTAACTGCTAGATGTTAAAATCTAAAGAAAAGTTTACTAGAAAAAATCCACGCGGACCAGGCAGCGGACGGGACTCGAACCCGCATCCTTCGCTATCCGGGCGAATGCACTGACCATTATGCTACCACGGCCCTACTAGCCGCGTCGAAATTTTCCTAGCCTTAAGCTGCAAGGCAGCGCCATCTCTTCGCATTGTAGGTAACCCACAATGTCAAACGAATACTTTTTCAAGTATTAAACATTTGAAAGAAGAAATAGCAATTATAGTAATGATTTTATTTATTTTTTAAGCATTTAACTGCTAGATGTTAAAATCTAAAGAAAGAAAAGTTTACTAGAAAAAAAATCCACGCGGACCAGGCAGCGGACGGGACTCGAACCCGCATCCTTCGCTATCCGGGCGAATGCACTGACCATTATGCTACCACGGCCCTACTAGCCGCGTCGAAATTTTCCTAGCCTTAAGCTGCAAGGCAGCGCCATCTCTTCGCATTGTAGGTAACCCACAATGTCAAACGAATACTTTTTCAAGTATTAAACATTTGAAAGAAGAAATAGCAATTATAGTTATGATTTTATTTATTTTTTAAGCATTTAACTGCTAGATGTTAAAATCTAAAGAAAAGTTTACTAGAAAAAAATCCACGCGGACCAGGCAGCAGACGGGACTCGAACCCGCATCCTTCGCTATCCAGGCGAATGCACTGACCATTATGCTACCACGGCCCTACTAGCCGCGTCGAAATTTTTCCTAGCCTGAAGCTGCAAGGCAGCGCCATCTCTTCGCATTGTAGGTAACCCACAATGTCAAACGAATACTTTTTCAAGTATTAAACATTTGAAAGAAGAAATAGCAATTATAGTTATGATTTTATTTATTTTTTAAGCATTTAACTGCTAGATGTTAAAATCTAAAGAAAAGTTTACTAGAAAAAATAGTAGCATAATGGTCAGTGCATTCGCCCGGATAGCGAAGGATGCGGGTTCGAGTCCCGTCCGCTGCCTGGTCCGCGTGGATTTTTTTCTAGTAAACTTTTCTTTAGATGTCATTTGTCTTTTTCAGGGAAAATTATGTTATGAAAAGGGTAAATCCATGTATTTAATAAGACGGCGAATCGTCGTTGAGATAAAGTGCATAAACCATCATAGGACTATGAATTTCTTTACCCGATATTTTCATCATCGGAGCTATCAAAATCCATATTTAAATTAAACTCATGCAACACCAAAATGTACACTGTGCTATATACTTCAGGACCATACGTAGCTTTAACTGTGTTGTGCAAGTGAAACAACTTGGTCTAATCAGGTCGGTTCGAAAAGTATAATTAAACTCTTCAAGCCGGAAGATGAGAGAAAGGAAACGACATTATTACCATCAACAACACGGACGCGATATTAAGACGAAACTATTTATAAATTCATGGATTTTGTACCCGCAACGTCCATTTAGAGAGGAACGCCGATCATTACCTGGATCTGGCGACCCACTTTGCGAGTGTAGATTTTAAGCTCACTAGAGGTGCCCTGTGGTTTCACCCGCATTAATTTGAGGAAAAAGGTTATAGTGGGTCACCCTCAAAAGATTTACATATGCTGTTGCAGACAATTTAAAAGAAAATTTAAAGGACAACAATTATATCACACGATTTTTGTGTAACTTTTACCGTTTACACAACGCACGCAACTGAAGCTCACAAAAGGAATATATTCCCCTGTTTTTTCATTGGTGCTCTGCTCCTATAAGACATACAGTTATGTTATATAGCCTTTAGCCTACCCTCATACATGCACTATCCAACACAAAAAGTATTTTTTGCAAATTGGACTAGTAGTTCCTGAGATTAGCGTGTTCAATCAAATTGACTCTACCCCCCCCCCCCCCTCATTTATAAATATTTATAATTATAAATGCGGGCTTTATAAATGAGGAATAAGCTTAGAATAGTTACGCCTTGTTTTGTTCATATCACTCAAATGTAATAGAGACAAAACATGGAGTAACTAATCCTAGCGTATTCTACGTTAATTAATGAAGTGGTTCAGCATTAAAAATATATTTATTCCAAATATTTTTTGTTTGGAAAAAATTAGAACTGCACTCATATAAGGTTACCCTGTGTTATGAGAGGCAGCATCATCCTTAATATTTATATAAACATGTTATTATTAATATACTATGTTAGTTACAAACTAAAAAACAACCAATTATTTAAAGTTTAAGGATGTGGGTGCGTATGTGTTTCCGCGCATATTGGTGTAGATAAAGTTTTCGACGCTCACCTTTCCTCTTGTCGGGCACTAGCAGCGTCTGGCCGGGGAAGATGAACTGCGTCGCGAGCCTGTTGAGCTTGGTCAGCTCCGAGGGGGTCGTGTCGAACCGCGCCGCTAGCGACGTTAACGTGTCTCGATCACGCACCTGCACAACGGAAATTATTAGGTAAGGATTCGATGGGTGGCCAAAAGTTTACTGTCTCGAGCTCCTTCGCTTCGGGTGGCACGTTAAGCCATTGGTCCCGGCTGCATGCATCTGCAGTCGTTAGCACCCACCAATCCGCACTGGACGCGCGTGGTGGGGAAGTCCTGTGCACTAATAATATTTTATTTTAGCAAAGTGGAAAGTACACGCAAAAGTACGAAATATTTATAAGTAGCAAAGAACTAAGTATAAACTATATTGATTTCATGAAGGATAGGCAGATTTACAAATTGAAAATACATTCATTTAAATTGCTTTACGTAGGCATTGCAAAGCTAAAAAATTATAATAAGACACCAATCAAAGCAATTGAATTATTTGTCCCATAAAATAAAAGAAAAACCAAACCTAGACCTCATGGAAGAATAAAATACACTACCATTAATACGTAAAAGAAAAAACTGAAATAACGTAAAATACATTGCTATTGTTTGATAGAAACATGCAAAGTTAATCTTTATGGCCTACGCAGACGAGGGACTTTTCGCCGCGGACTCTTTTGTCCGCTAAAATAGATCGCTTACAACTGCATTGAAAAACGCACACGAGTAATTAAAAGTCCCACCATTTAAAAAGTCCTTCGAACAACCGAGAACGCCGAGAGACAGAACAGGAAAAAAGAACGCGGGTGTCCTCAAAAAATAAAGAAATCATGTGACTAGGCGCAGTATCGCACACAGCGTCTGCGTTGCGCGCTCGATCCGATATTAAGCGATGGACCCACTATTCTCTTTTAAAACGTTTTTTCTTTAACTTAACTTCAATCAATGACAACGCAACGTAATCTCAGAATTTTTGCTTCCATAACGTGAATTTCTCTAAATTTTCGGGAAACGAATGAGCGCACACCGTGTGCCTTGAGTCCGTGAGACAAGTCCTCGGTGGAAATTTTTCACGATTCAAGGACTTTTGTCCTCCACGGACATGAGTCCCTCGTCTGCGCAGGCCTATTAATCTTACCGTATGTGTCATTGTTTTGATGGGCGGCGGTGGCGGTAACCTCTTGACGTGCTCATCCTCATCTGAGAACAAACAGAAATGCATAGAATTAATATAAAGAAAGTTTGGAATATCGGTGACTGAATAAAACACTTTTAAAACAGACATTAAGTGCAATTTTTTACAAACATTTTTTTTTCCTTTTTTCTTTCTCCAGTTCTTCTCAATAAATCTACCAATTTGGAACTGATGGTACTTAGTTACTTTAGTACACACAAAATTATACTAAACTTTTAAATAAACTAAATAATGACAAAAGCTTAAATATGATAAAAACTAATGAAATAATCTAAATATTATTTATGTAGTGTACCTACATAATATAAATTGTTACTTTGTATAATTTATTACATGTTGTTGTTTAATTTATGTTAATTAAATATATATAAGCTAAGCTATATTTATCCGAGGGATATAAGCTATCATAATGCCACATTTATATTTTTTAATATCGTGTTAAAAAAAACACCTTGCTCACAAAAAAACATAGCAAATTAGTTTTTTCTTATGTCAATGTCGGTGATAATTATAATTCACCATAACATACATAGTCAGGAAATGGTGTTTTTATGACAACTTATTTTACCCGAATGTGCTACAGTCACGCCACGCCTACGCTATATTTTCTGCAGGGTGATTTTCACAAGAGATATTGCTATTTGTAAACGTCAGACACTAGACGGTAATCTTTGTGTAACATATCGACATAAATCTTATTCTTCTTCATTATATTTTGCTGCCATTCTTGATATGCTTTTACGAAGACGGTGACAATTCTATCCATTCTATTCTATCTTCGGCTTGTCTAAGGGTAGTCGGTAGCGTAAACCCGGTCACGTTTTTTATTTGGTCTAAACAACGGACAGGTGAACGGCCTCTTCATCTTTTACCATTCCACCTTACCTACAACAACCAACCTGTCTAAATTGTCGGGCTTGCTACGGGTGATATGGTGAAAGTAACCTAGTATTTGATAACATATCCTAGACATCTGATTTTGTTCTTCAGTTGGTCGAGAATCGATATATTGGTTCACGGTATGCGGCGTGGCTTGTCCATGATTCGGAGCCGTACTCGTACATAAATATCGAGAACACCAATGTTCGCACAAGTCCGGTCTTGGTCATGTTGGAGTTGTTTGCTCCTGTTCCGCCGAAATTTTTGTTAGTTTGCTCATTGTGGACTTGACTATCTGTGTTCATATCCGGATTTTCTTGTCACATCCGCCCTAATTTGTAATTAATCACCAAAGGGTATACGAACTCGCTTACAACTTTCAAGTCCAAGAGGTCCCCTGCACGTTCGGCTTCACTCGCACGCTCAATCACAATGACCTTGGTCTTGGACTTTTTAACTGAGAGACCCATCAAAATTCTAATCAGATGCTTAAAATGAATATATTTGAAATGGTGAAGCATAAAATCTTTTTAACTCTTAAAGAGAAAATGTAACCTATAGATTCAGACAAAGTTCATAAGTTACCGAGTACATTTATTTATAAATGTCTTTGGAAACAGTCGCAATTTTTAACATAAACACAGTAAACGGAACGACTTTTCCACA